TAGTAAGTCAATTGTTAAGGAAATAAGTACAGTATGCAAATTTGCAGTAAGATTCTTTTTGGTAATTTCTGTTGTTCTGTCTTCAGGTTCACTTATTCTTCCCTCAGATTTGTCAAGTCTACTACTGATCATACCATTAAAGGCATTGTTCATTCTGTTACTATGTTTTTGGTTTCTGCCATTTTTGTTTGATTTCCTTCTCAGAGTTTAAGTCTCTTTGCTGAAACTATCTGATCTTATACATTTTCTGCCTTTTAAATTGGGCTCTTTAATGCACTAATGATAGTTATTTTTACATAATGCCAACATCTGTGTCATACTGAATTTAGCTGAATGATCACTTTGTCTCATCAGATTGTTTTCCCCTGAATGCCTTGTCATTTTTGGTTAAAAGCCATACATATTGTACGGGACAGTAGGTACTGAGGGAAATACTGTTTATGCTGTGGGTGAGCCTGTTTTTCATTCTGCCAGACTTCCATTGTGGGGGTTGTGTACATGTAGTCCTGAATGAGGTTGTTTTAAAGTGTGTTGTTCCTATGATTCCCCTCAGTGCACCATAATCTAGTGATACTTTGTGTATAGGGTATTGGCTGCTTTGCCAGAGGATTTTTCTCAGTGTGTTCTCTGCTCGGTGTTTGGTTTGTCCTTTGCACTGTTTCCCTGAACAAATCTGTCTCTTGAAGTAATCCTTGCTATAGTCCTTTTTAATTTTTCTTCTTAGTGCTCGTTTATGTGGCTGGGTGGTTATGAGAGGAAGGATGTTCTTCGAAGTTTTGGTTAATCCTCAGTCCAGGTTTGGTCCTATGAACCTAGGTGTTTAGGTTGTGGACTTCACAGTTCTTTCTGCCCCTCTTCCAAATGTAATGCTGGGCCTAGTGTATGTTCCTGACCTTCCCCTGAGAGTAAGACACTTTGTTTTCTGTTCCTCTCCCTCAACTGCAGTTGGTTTCTACCAGTGCCTACCCCTCCTCCCCAGCCATTTTCTCTACAGACCGATCCTTTTGTTCTTTAGAAGACATAGGAGGTATTTGGATGGCTTTAGGAAATGGGTGGTATTCCCAAGATTTTCTCCAGTCTACCCTGGGAGGGATCATAGAAGAAAAGTTTGGTAAGAGTATACTACGCCCCCTCCCCCAATGTTTATGGCTGCAGGGGCCGCATACTTCTGTGCTAGCCACCGTGTAGCATTTTGTTAAACATTAACTTAATCTTCCTGCTGGCTTGTCCAGCTATTTCTCTTTCAGGTAAACAGATACAGTAAAACCTGGAAACATGTTTGTAATCCATGTACTTGTATATCAAAGCAAAATTCCCCATAAGAAATAATGGAAACTCAGATGATTTGTTCTACAACCTAAAAATATTCATCTAAAAGTTATTAAATACTGTAATACAATACAAAATAATAAACAAAATACAAAATAGTAAGAAAAATAAACACATTAACCTACACTTATCTTTGAAAACCTTTGTAGCTGTTGTGGGAGACAAAAGAGAGGAGGATTGTTGTGTAGAACGACTTCCACTATCACTAATGGAATCACTGCTGTCTGTTGGCTTAATGGAATCTTTTTCTGCATGAGGGCCATTCCATACACTCGTACAGATGTTGACTACAGTACAGAATTAATAAACTCTTGTCAAAAACTGTATTTAATGTAACTGGCAATGAGGCAGCAGACAAAAGGGTCTGCATCTGCAGGCAGCCTGATCTAGAATGAAGCAAAACATTCCTAAGGTTACTCATGTACAGAAAAGCAAGGGACTGTCCATAGGTGCTTTGAAGTGACAAAAAAGTACACTAATGCCAGTTGTGGGCACCTTGCGATGTTCTGAAAAATCACTAATTTCTGCCAAACACTGCAGCCCAACCATTGAGCATGGGAGACAGTCACCCACAATCCCACAGAGAAAGAAAGAGGAGGGAGGGAGACAGGAAACTTTGGCTCAGTTGTGACCATGTGACATTTGGCGTCATGTACTACTTGTATTGCAAGACATTGCTTGTTTATCAAGTTAAAATTTATTAGAAATGTTTGCTCATCTTCTAGAACACTTGCAGAACCAGTTCCTCACAAGCCTGGGTTTCCCCGGACTCTGGTGTTCTCTCTCTCCCTGCAAGTACCCGCTGTTTCTGGTTTTAGATCGTTTTGCCTCTGATTCAGTTCTTTCATAGGTTCCAAAAATGGCATTAATTAGCAGTACTTCAACTTTTTTCTTGTAATCATAGGGGCATTGCTCTTTCCAGCTTTCTCCGTTTCCAAGCTGAGCTCTCTAGGTTTTAACACTTGGCGTTACCTCTACAGATATAAGGGGTTTTAACATTCACATTTCATTATCTTAGACTTCTTGCTATTTAAATTTGTATTGTCAGCATATTTCAGAACTATGTTAACAGTAATAGGCTTTTTATTTCTTATAACATTTTAGGGATAATTACCTTTAGCAAAAAATGGTTTATAATGTACATTCATCTATAACCATCACTCCCTGCCATACCTCATGTAGTCATTTAGTTTAGTGACAGAAGTAATCTCCATTACAAAAGACCAATCAATGTCCGAATTGTTAATAGCAATGAAACCTTCTATTTTGAGATTTGTTTCCGAATGAAAGTCTCAAGACGTTTTTAGCCAGGGACAAGAATTTTTGAAGTGTGAGGAAAATATTTATGGTATCTAAAAGTTGTGATGTGACAGGATCTTAACCATTAAGATTTTTAATTATTTAGTCTCAAGTAAGGAATGTTTCTAGAAAGTTTGCCTGGCTTCTTACATGTAACTGACAGTTGTGAAGACACATTTATGCCAATTTGGTATTCTACTTAGGAATCAAGGGGATTTCCATGGAAATTCAGACAATGTAGACTATTGCTATGATTTACTACAACATGAAAAATGTTGGATTGTTTTCAATTTTATTAAATGCAATCCTATTCTTCAGTATTCCATAAATTTAAAATCAAATCTATTTAAGTACAGAGTTTTGACCATTAAAGAATGGAGTCTTAGAAATTGGGTATGTGTCTAAGCACAAATCTGATGTCATTTTTCTTTTAATTTTGAATCCATGCTCTGTTTTGTCCCCTGCTACTCTGTCACATACCATCATGTCCTGATGATGAGTATAGAATGAAATCTAAGCTTCTTTATGTGACGCTTAACACCCTCTTATCAAACCCCACCCACTTCTTCAGCCTGATCACCTGCCACTTACATAGGCACATTTTACACTCTCTTCAAACACACCATGATGGTTAACTTGTTTTTTTTTTTTTTTTTTTTTAACCCTTGTGCCTTTGACCTTGCTGCTCACTGTGCCGACACACCCTTTTCTGTCCTGTTACATATTGTAATGTCATTAGGTAGGGAGTCTTTTAAGTACAGTGCTGAGTTTTGTAACTACAGAAGAAGTAGAGTGTTGAATAGATGACTACCATTAGATTCCTTACCTTTTGGCCATTGTAGTAATGAATTTTTTTTTTTAATTTTTTTTGTTTGTTTTTTATTTATTTTTGAGACAGAGCATGAGTGGGGGAGGGGCAGAGAGCGAGGGAGTCACAGAATCCGAAACAGGCCACCAGTCTCCGAGCTGTCCGCACAGAATCCGACGCGGGGCTCAAACCCACAGAACCGTGAGATCATGACCTGAGCTGAAGTTGGACGCTTAACCGACTGAGACACCCAGGCACCCCTGTAGTAATGAATTCTATCACATTTCTAATGGGGTGTCCTCCAACCTTTTTGAATACTTCTGGTGACAAGCAGCTCCTGCTTCACAAGGAAGCCCATTATATTTCCCTGTGACTTCAAGTTTTACAACCTTGGCCCAATAAGAACAGCTCTTACTTCTTCCCATCACCTTAGAAATAGTAAATATTAGAAAATGTGTAATATTTAAGAACTTGTAACTCCACATGCAGTAAAAGTCAATACCTTCTAGTTTTCATTGTGTTAACCCACTCTACCTCAGTCTTATTGAATCCTTTGCAAGGATAATGTCAGTTGAAAATAGAGGTGAAGAGGCCCTTTCTTGCCCTGTAGCTGTGTGCCAGTAGTTCTGTTGCATCAATTGTTTTTCATCAATTTTATAAGACCATGAATATGGTGACTGATATATTCAGACAGTCATACTTCAGGCAGCTGCCTTTTAATTGTAAAGAATTAGGTTATAATGTTTTGATAACTACCACTTTTTTGCCGTGTATAATACTCCATTTCCTTTTTGGTTAGATACTTTACTTTGTTTCCTTTGAGTCTTCATAAAATTCTGTGAAGGGCCTAACATTACCTGCCTTGTAGTTGAAGAAATTGAGTCTCCCAGAAGGTGAGGCAGTGCTATGGCAGCACCAAAATGCACTGCGGGGCCCCGTGTACATTCATTGCTGTCTGTCCTGTGTTATGTGGTACCCCGGGAGCAGGACAGAACTCTCGAGACAGTTTTGCCAGAGTATTCTGGAGGATTGTGCAAAGAGCACCCATAGAAATGCCCAGCTGATGGGCCGCGGCCCCTGGATCTGCGGTGCGTACCACGCAGTTGTTTTCTGCCAGCTGTGTGATTGCAAGCACATTGTTCACGAGCTTTATTCAGGAGAGCATCCAGGGTCCAGAGGGATTGAAGCTGTGGGCATCTGAGATCATATTGGGTTGTTGTGTGGCAAGGAAAATTAAATTGATTACGGCTGGATAATGAGAAGGGAGAAGAGTTTGGAAACCATTGCGAATGAAGGGAAGGTGGCGAATGAGTTTTTGGGGGTGTATCTCAGCTCTCCTTCCCTTGTACATGTTCTTTACAGTCTTTATGCCTAGGTAACGATCACTTTGACTTTATATGGTTTCATGGTTCTTTTTCCATTATCTGTCTGAATCCTGTTTTTTTTTTCCCTATAGTTTATTTGAATGCATTAAAGTGTATTTAAATGAGAATCTGATGCAGTCGGGAAGTTGCTGTAGGAAAGACTGGATAACAAAAGCTTCTTAATAATGAAGCGCACCAAAAATGGAACCTGCAGGACCAACCACATGGACAAATGGAAAAATGCCTTTGTCCGCACATTGCAGCGATCCTGCGTAAACATGGCGGTCTCTGTCTGGCGTAGGGCAGCTGACTGGGTCCGATCGTCCCTCATACAGCCTTGAAACCAGCTTTCCAGTTTCTTTAGGGTCTGTGACCGTTAAGTGTGCTAGATTTAATAGACAACCAAGTGAGGCTACTTTGCATCTGTCTTAACTGGTGTTTAGATATTTTATGGTCTTAAAAGTAGGTTTCATTTGTTTGATTAAGGCAGGGGAATGAATATAGAAATACTATTTTTATGAGCGACCACACTGGCTTAACTAATCAGGGTTATCAGTAGAGGCCAGTCCGTATTTTAGAGATGAAGAAGCCAATCAGAGGTAGCTTCCATGAAGTTTTTTTCAGGAAGAATTGACTTGTCATTAAGAAAGTGACTGTTCCAAAATACAGTTTATGTAATTTTTTATGTCTGTAACAAATTTCAGGAATGACCGTTAATGGGGAAAAGCTAGCTACTAAGTATTAACTTCTTAGCACTAAATTTGAAATCTTGGGTTTTTTCACGGTGTGTGTTCTGTCCACAGGGGAGGGAGCTGCAGTGGCATTGCTAATGCCCTGAGGTGTGGTGCTCAGCACAAGCGCTGCAAGCAGGCCACAGCTGGGTCTATTTATAGCTAATGGTGTGAGGATCTGTCCTTTTTCATGGTTCTGAAATCCCCATGTATTTCTTACTCTGAGCAATATTGTTGAATAGCTTTATTTTTCTAAACTCTTTAGAAGTCATGAGTCTACTCTGGTCTTCATTTTGATGAACCATTTTAAGATTTTGTGCTCACCTGTATTATTTGTGCTCTGCTTATTTACGTGAGAAATTCAAATCTAGATTCAAGACCCTTCACTAAAATGACCTCTAACTAAAAATTCTGAACACAAATACTACTGAGGCGTAATTCAAAAGGGAAAGGAATGTCTTATGACTGCATCTATCTCTGGATGGTTTACAAATATATTTGAGAGGCATCCCTACCACGCTATTGTTTTCTAGGGTGTTTGAGCCAAGGCCAAGAAATACAGCGTGTAGCCTGATGTCCTTAAATCCTTTGCAGTGCTTCCGTCACTTTGAACCTCCTTGCTACCATTTTCTTGTTTCATCTTCCATGTAGCCCTGTGTGTGCTCTCACCCTTTTGCTGCCAGATCCTATATGCCCCTTACTCCTCCGCAGACTCCAGTAAATCTAGTAGGTGACAGCTGGCTTCTACTCAAACCAGATATATGAATATAGGAATCAAGTGATCCTCATATATGACAAATCAAAACTGAGATAGTAATTAGAGATGGATTTATTTGAATATGAAGGCAAGTACGTATTTTGTAGACTGCACTAGGACCATCAGTTATACATCCTTCCTTGCTCTTTGAGGTTTTGTGGAAGCTCACAATGTGATCTTCACAATATAAACTTAAATCCCGTTAGAAGGTGGAATATGCACTGTCACTTTACTCTTATACTTAAAGACTAGATGGAATTGTAACTACTTTTATGGCCAAGGATATGCTAAAATCAGGGACAGTCACATAAGCAATGGTATAGTTCTAGTAGTTTTCTTCTGCTAGGTTGGTGCCTGTTCCTGTTGTTAAATAGTTTTAATACCCACCCCTGAGAACAGTATGCTCTTATTGTGAACACGGGTTCCTTTGGATACCAAATATAAAAAGGTCTTAACAGAAAAAAGTAAGGTTTTTTTTTTAATTCTGTTTTTAATATTTTATTTATTTCTGAGAGAGAAAGAGAGAGAGAGAGTGAGAGAGACAGCGTGAGCAGGAGAGGGTCAAAGAGAGAGGGAGGTACGGAATCTGAAACAGGCTCAAGGCTCTGAGCTGGCTGTCAGCACAGAGCCCAACACGGGGCTCGAATCCACGAACCATGAGATCATGACCTGAACCAAAGTCAGATGGTTAGCCTACTGAGCCACCCAGGCTCCCGCCTCACATTTTTATATACTTTCTTTATTAATATTTATTTAAGGAAGGATATGAAATTCAGCCACCTTTCTCACTGTTCTGTGTCCTCTAGGGAGTTGTATTTGCAGATACTTTGTGTTGTACATAGTGATTTACCAGTTTTACCAGTTTTAGTGTTTGTCTGAAGGATTTAAATGGATGTACAGTTTTAACTTAGTGGACACTTTCAGAAGAAAATTCAGTGCTTGCAGTACAAACTATTGAAGACAGACCATTCACATTAATTTTTACTATCTTAACTGCAGCTCTTGGCTTTTAGAAGACAAATGTGAATAGTATTTCACTGCACTTTGCATCTGCCCTGTCACTAATAGTGTTCTAGCACTTGACAGGAAGACTCAAGTCTTAAAGATCATATGTCTTAGCTCTGTTTTTCCCCCAGTAAAATCTTCAAAGAACTTGCCTTCCTTAGTTTTACAGCACAGACCATAAAGTTGTTTTGGAGGAGAAAATGTTTTCTGAAATTTTTGAGATTTTTATTTGGCAAGGTCGTGCTTTTAAACATCTCCGGGGAAGGGCAGGTATGTGTCATTTATAACTTCTGTCTTATGGTAGTGTTCTGATGAAGACTACTAGAGTCAGATTGTGAGATTTGCTTCCTGTTGCCACTAAATACTAGCTTTGAGCCTTTGGGTGGGCTGCTTTCTGTACCTCTGTTTCTCTTCTGTGAAATCAAAATAATAGTATCGTCCACATAATATTGTGGAACAAGATTAGAAAATATATGAGAACTATTGAGATAGATGAGAAACTCAAGGTTCATGACCAGTCAAGAAATAAATGTTGCAGGGGTGCCTGGGTGGCTTGGTCGGTTAAGTGTCTGACTTCAGCTCAGGTCACGATCTTGTGGTCTGTGACTTCGAGCCCCACATCGGGTTCTGTGCTGACAGCTCATAGCCTGGGGCCTGCTTCAGATTCTGTCTCTCTCTCTCTCTCTCTCTCTCTCTCTCTGCCCCTCCCTTGCTCACTGTCTCACTCTCAAAACTGAATAAATGTTAAAAAAATAATAATAAATAAATAATAAATTTTGCTGTCATTATCTTCAACACTTTCTACACTAATCCATATAACTGAACAACTTACTTGTTTTTAACTCATTAGATATTAATTTTGCAGTATATAAAACATTCCTAAATATATAATATATATTTAGATGGTTTACAACCCAATATAAATATTTATAAACAACTGTGGTATAAGCCTGAATGAAAGAAATCTGTATAAGAGAAATATCCTTGAAAGTATTGACACTAGAGGGGGAGAGATTACTTCTAATTGGGAGAATTATAGAAGACTTCATGAAGATACTGGCTCTTCTGCTGGACTTCATAAAGCAGGGTTTCAGAAGGCTTGGGACACAGGTAAAGGACATGCCTGAACAGAAGACCATAAACCAGCATCTGTTTAGTACCGGCCAGGCCTCATATACTAAATGGTATCTTAATTCAAAATCATCACCATAAGTCTTGTAAGCTATATACTTTTGATCTCTGTTTACAAGTAAAATTAAAGGTTAGAGAAGTTAACTGGTTTACCCAAGATAACACAACTAAAAAAGGAGTAGTAGAGTTAGAATTTGAATCCAGGTGTACCTGGCTCTTTTTGCTACACTGCCTTCAGGCTGCAGAACAGTGTGAACAAAGGTATAGATGAGAGAAACTGCAATGGATGTTTCAGAAACTTGTCATTGAGTAATCTAAGTAAAGAAAGGGGGATAGGAACTCTGTTGGAGAATGACAGAGGTTCCAGATTACATAGTCTTGAATGCCATTCTGAAAAAAGAAGTGTAGGCTTTCCTCCTTCCCTCCCCCACTGCTTTCCTTCCTTCCTTCACGCCCAGCTTGGAGCCCAAGGTGGGGCTTAAACTAGGACCCTGAGATCTAGACCTGAACTGAGATCAAGAGTCGGATTCTTAACTGTCTGAATCACCCAGTGTAGGCTTTCTTATGTAGACATTAGTAAGCTCCTAAAGCCCATTGTCCAGGGAGATGAAAGTATCACATGAGAATATTTTCATGGCAGTGTATAGAGTGCATTATACTGAGAAGAGATTGAATGTGTAGTTATGTAGGGAATTAAATAATTGATACTTTTTTCTGCATTCAGTTTCCTTTTAAAAATATTTGAAAGTTGGCCTCACATATTATAAACACGTTTATTTTATTTTAAAGTGAGTATGGGGTGCCGCGGTGGCTTAGTCAGTTAAGAGGTCAACTCTTGATTTTGGCTCAGGTCATGATCACAAGGTTGTGAGATTGAGCCCCTTGTTGGGTTCTGTGCTGAGTGTGGAGCCTGCTTAAGATTCTCTCTCTTTCCCTCTCCCTCTTCCACTCTCCCCTTCCCACTGCTTGTGCTTGCTCTATTTTTTTTTAATTTTTTTTAATGTTTTATTTATTTCTGAGAGAGAGGGACAGCATGAACAGGGAAGGGTCAGAGAGAGAGGGAGACACAGAATCCGAAACAGGCTCAGGCTCTGAGCTGGCAGTCCGCACAAAGCCCGATGCAAGGCTCGAACCCACGAACCGCAAGATCACGAACTGCCCCTTGTGCTTGCCCACTCTCATGAGTGCTCGCTTGCGCTCTCTCTCTCTCTCTCTCTCTCATGAATGAGTGAGTGTATTTCTGTATATTCATTTTAAGAAAACAACTTTTGGGGGTATCTGGCTGGCTCAATCAGAGCATATAACTCTTGATCCTTGGGGTGTGAGTTCAAGCCCTATGTTGAGTGTGGAGCCTACTTAGAACAAAAAAGCTTAAAAAACACAGCTTTTGAGCTGTATTTGAGGATACAGTTACTGACTCCCACTGACTAGCATATAACCTATTTTTTCTTTTTGCAAGAATTTCACTTGCTTAATAGATGTGGATTGAAGAATCTTATTAAAGGATAGGATTACAGACAATGACTCTAGGTGCCTGGGAGGTGTGAGAGGGGTATGAGACATCGCTGAGGGAACAGAACACTATTAGAAAAATTAATTCTGTCTTTTCCTTGCCGTTGACTCCTTGTTATCCATAAATAACATTCTTACTCTAGTTTTGAGAGAGTTTGTTTGCATGTTTACCTTAGCCCATTCTCATCTAATCAGCTAAT